GCCAACTCCCCCCAGTTTATATACTGGGCTTGACGTTCTGTGAATGAATATCCCTTTGGCCAGGTTGGGTCAGCTCTGCTGGCTGTGCTTCTTCCCAGCTTCTTGTGCACCTTGTTGTTGGCAGAGCATGGGAAACTAATAGATCTTGCGTTACAGTAAGCACTACTTAGTAACAACTAAAACATCAGTGTGTTATCAAAGTTATTCTCATACTAAATCCAAAAACACAGGACTGTATCAGCTACCAGGAAGAAAATTAATTGTATTCCAGTTGAAACCAGGACAGTGTTGAAGTTTTAAAAAGCTTTAATAGGCTTACCTGTGCCATTAACCAAATCGCAGTAACCTTCCCAATATGAAAGATTCCTTTAAGATAAAAAAAAAGGTCATGCTGCATGTAGTATATTATACCATGTAATCCATTTCATTACCTGTATTGCTAAATATAACTGCTCGAATATAAGCCTAATCCATTAGCAAAGTCAGAGGATAGAGATGTTCATTCATTTATTCAGATAAACTATGTTATGCGTTAGAATAGGATAAAAGGCATCTAGCTACTTCAGTATGCAAACCAGAAGTAACTACTTGTATCAAAGAATCAGTAACTGTCTTAAATCCAAGCTCCTAACAGAACCATTAATAACTGAGAGAGAGGTGGTTTTGCTAAGCCCAGGGCTTGATACAGCTTCCTTTGACTTGTTGAAGACTTTCCATTTATCTATAGCTCTTAGTGAAGTTTTAAAAGCCATACCTTGAAAATATGTATGGTTTTTAATTATACAATGCTATGATACCTTTTGTTTTTATAGCTTTCAATTATTGCTGTTTTTTTAATATCTTCTTTCCCAGTATAGACTTTATAAAGTCCATCAGACGTCCCATTATACTGTAACAGACACAAGAAGAAGGAGTAACAGTTAGATGCACTGAACCAGATTGTAGCAGTGTCAGATTTTAATTCATCACAGCAGCTGCCTTAATTTTTATTCATAGAATGATAACTGAAGGCTTTGTCTCCTCATTGATTTCACTTACCGGGTAGAAGACTCCCAGAACTTGGTTTACAGGGAAGGGGATCTTGCTTAAGAAGGGATCTTTGTATCCCCACAGTAGTTCTTTCACTGTTCTGTTCTGCAGCATGGATGACTTAGAAGCTTTAATCCAAGTGTTTAATAGTAGGTGCATAAAAGTGCTTGTATACAAGGCAGGTGCAGCCTACAACAGCAATAAAATTAATGTTTAGTATAAAATTCTTTATGTGCTTTGGACCTAAACCACAGAGTCTGACTCCAAGAAATCTCTAGCAAAGCTGGTTTCCAAAGTTGCAGCTTACCCTAAGTTAAGTTTTTACTTAAAATCGTCAATTTTAAGTAAACTTACACAAAAGCAGACAATTTGTCTTTACTCCTTACACAAGTTCACTGGATCACCCCTAATCACAGCATCACAGAAGGGCTGAGGTCAGCAAGGACCTCTGAAGGTCATCTGGTTCAACCCCCCGGCTCAAGCTGGGCCACTGAGAACCAGTTGCCCAGGACCATGGCGAGACGGCTTTTGAACATCCTTAAGTAATAATCTCAAATCCCTTATCTGTATAACGTGGGTTGTACCACTTTTTGTTTTCTGCCTCTTTCTTGTCATCTCCATATGTCACTTACTTCAGACCCACTTGCACTATAAACATGTAAGTAAAAGATATAGGCTTTGTTACTTACTGGCTTAGATAAGGGGTTTAGATTTGCTGTTATGGTAGCAGCAACACAGCTGTATCCTCCATAAAACTGACCAAGTGCTGAATCTCCATTATTTCTTTATTTAGAAAGAATACATATTTGCAACAAAAAAGTCCTTCTTTCTGGACAGCTTTAATTCTAAATAATGGATAACTTTTCCTCATTCAATGAAGAATAATGTAGATTTACCAGCAGTAATTGTAATGAACATTCCCAGAGGCATAAACAAAAGTCAAGTTCCTTAAGGCACTGAATAGCTTGTGGAAAGCAAACAAATTACTTCTGTTGGCCTGTCTGGTGAAGCAGGAAATTGTCACCATTTTGATAACTAAATTTGTGTAAAAACAAATGACCCTTTTAGAGCACGTGCTCAGCCTAGGCCTGTTAGTGAGTCATCTCTTTGAACTTCGTGCTATGAGGATAGCAATGGAAAAGTCTCTTTTGCTTTAATTTCCTGCTCCCCTCAACCCCATGAATCTTTCACTTTTGTCTGAACTTGAACATAAAGTAAGCAGAAAGCATGGATATGACAAGATTATGATATAGAGGAGATGTGGGTTCAATCTCTTCAAGGTTAAGAAAGTGTGAAAAACATCTCTCTCAATTCTCTTGTGAGTATTTTGATGACAATGTTATGACATAAAAGGTGGGCTCTGCTGGATTAAAGTCAGTGCTGTCAAACAAGATAGGCAGAGCCTCTCTGGGAGAGGCTTACCCCAATTTGTTTCCGAAGAGCAAATGGGGCTTGGATCCTCTGTTCCTATCTCCCTTGACACGGATGCTTCCAGACGTATGCTTAGACCCTCAAAGATCTACGTGGTCCAAGGTGTGGGAGCTGAGAAGTGTTAATACTGTGACATGAAGGACTCTCAGCATAGGAAACAATAACAGCTTTTCAAAAGAGAAATGCTGGCCTAAATTAGGATACAGACAGAATATATATGGTCTAAATAAGGTCATTTGCCTTTACTTACTTGGTCTATTCTCCCTAGAAAAAAAGAAAGCTCAAGGGACCTTATCACGATATTCCAGTACGTAAAGGGTGGCTTATGAAGAGGATGGAGACTCTTTCTTCACAAGGAGAGACATGGAGAAGGCAAGGGGCAACAGGTAAAGGTTGCACCAGGAAAGGTTTCATCTTGATAAATTTTTTACACTGAGAACAGTCAATCACTGGAATGTCGTAGAGTCCCCATCACTGGAGATTTTCAAGGTGCAATTGGACAAGGTGCTAGAAAATGTCATATAGGCTCCCTTTCTCAGAAAAGGTTGGATCGAATGATCTTTTAAGGTCCCTTCCAACATGGGTTCTTCTTTATTCTGTGATTGCTGGTATGACATTATTTTGTTTTTACACCAAGCATCTCTTCACTCTGTCCCTAGCAGCCACCCTCACGCAGTAATCCTGAACACTCATGCACAGACACCGCAGAGCTAGTGCAAGACAATCAGGCAACACACCCAGGGCTGAATATTAATATGAGAACTGTAAACACCGGCCAAGGGCAAACGTTCTCTCAGCCTGTGACTGAAAAGACTCTAGCACTACTCCAGGTGGGGACTTTGTGCTTTTCTTTGAAGGACTGAGGTCTCAGTAGGACAAGAGAGCTCAGAGGATGCCATTGCATCGGTGCTGAGGGGCACCATGGGGAGCAAGCAGCTGTGGCGGTAAGGCCATGCATACACTGAGTATGGGATTTAATACAGCCTCCCCTGCTGTATTATCCCCTGAGGATATTATGGAAAGAGTATGGCAAATCCATCTTGTACTGTCCATGCTGTACCTCACACAGAAAGGGAATCCAGCCACAAACTCTTAATTCATTTCCACGTTAAAATTGACTAGAAGGATACTTTTTGATACATTCCATCCAAACTGATGACTTTGCTTCCATTGACAGGAACAAGTCAATTTTCATTCGCCATTAAGATTACCCTGGGAATATAAGGAAGCCTTAATATATCTGTCCTCAGATTATTATTTTTTTTTTCAAGACAGTAATACAGGTATCCTCAGTGTAGCTGACACTCATGTCATCCGAGTTTATAGAGAGAAAACCTATTCTGTGGCAGTTTCAGTATTACTAATGCTAACTTCTCCCCTATTTCCCCCAGTAACTCAAGATTTGAATGTGGACATGATGGTTTTGTTTCTTTACTTACAACAACGGCAAGGTTGAGGCAGGTGACGGTATCATTTTCTGTCCCAACAGACATATCGGGTTCAAAATGAGCAACATTAGGCAACATGTAGGATATTGTGCCATCAGAGTGTTCTGTGATGTTTTCTTTGGGTAAATATCGCACCCTTGAAATACAAAATAAAACCAGAATATTTTTAACATTTGATTTTCGGGACAGCACATAACCATGCCTGACCAAAGTTTTTTGAAAAGTTTATGAATATTTTTGTAGAAGAATGTTGAACATTTTATAACCATTGAAAGGATTGTAAACTTTTCATGTGAATATATGTAAAACTTCCATTTTCTGTAAAATATTGTTCTTTTGGAAATATTTCCTTAGTGCCTAATGGAATTATTTTTCTTGATACTAAAATGAAAACAATTTTTTAAATTTTTATTTTAATAATGGAGCTTGTATCTTTTTATATTTTGTTTTAATTATGTTATTGTCATATTTTTTTCTAAGCTTTCTCATGGTGGCATGTAATTAGAAGGGGATGACTCAGAATAGTTAATAAACACTCTAAAGTTTTGATCTGATAGGCCTGTGTTGCAGCAAAACAGGTTACAGGTTAAATCCATAATGGGAGTAACTTTGATAAGATTTCATATGCATGCGGAGATTTATAAGCAGTCTTTCAACTCCACTGAGATTCTCATAAGCCTCTCAAGCATGCCTTGTCAGCAGATGCCTCACATACAAATTTCTGAGCTGCTGCAGTTCTAGCTTTAGCTCAACTCTTCAAGTCCCCATCCTCTTGCTGACCCTCTGTGGGGCCAGCATCCAGCAGGCATTGTGTGACAGTCTATGCTGTGGGTCCACAAAGCTTGTCCCAGCTCCATCCCAGAAGGGATCTTCAGGGTACTCCAACAGATCTTCCAGCCCGGGCATGGGGGAACCAAAAGGTTCAGGGAGTATTTCCCCATGGTACAGATGTAGCCAGTGCAGGTGGGCTTTACCCCAAAACCAGCTGGATCTTGGCTTCTCAAGATTGGTTTGTGTGCATGTCATTTTAATGAGTAGCCTAATGTGTAAAGCACCTACCGGAAAGTTGGGAGATTTTTTTTCTAATTAATGTTACTTCAAACTGGAAACAAAAGACCTAAAACAAGGTTTCCCAACAGAATCATGGGGATAGTTGTGTTTTCAAGGCCAGTTGTTCTACTTTGTAATAAATAATTAAATATTTAAAGGGAGACTGAGAGAGAGACTTAGTGTCACAGTGGTTCAGGTAGACCAAATATCCCGGGTGAGCATGACCACAGCGGTGAGAGGACCTATAGCCACAGTTTCTTACATAGCCTTATCTAGGTTTCTGGCAGACATTTGTCCCTGAGAAAACAGGCACCACCATCGCCACCAGAGTAAAACATTTCTGTTTGGTAGGAATTCGCCTTCTGTAGCATTTCTTAACTAGTTAATTTCCTGATTCCTTTGCAATCATTTCCTATGTCTTCCCACGTACTCTATGAACCAAGACTTCTCTGTTTACAATGAGAAATAGATAATATTTTAGGCATCAAAGTGCCTCAGCTGTAGATTCTGCAATGCAAAACCATCTTGTGAATGTAATATACATCCCCGAAGATATCAAGAAATAAATATCCTATAATTTTAGGAAAGAAATTTCATAACAAGGGTGCCAGTGATAGCGGGATATTGGGCTCAATGACTCAGGAAACATCAACTAGTCCTATGTCAACATCACATTTAAAATTAAGCAAATCATTAAAAGCTTCCCTGAATGGGGATGAACTGCTGCATCTAGGCCCTAGCTACTACATTCAGAAAATGAATGATTTTCAGAGGAAAAATTGAAAAAGAAAAAGCTATAGATTAAAAATAAGTTGTAAAGGAGCAAAGAAACTAAACACATTACTAAAATAAATGAGTGATACATGGGTGATAAGATAATCTCTTGGGTTTAGGGCATCTGGCATACTTTCTTCTATGTAAAATGTCGGCAAAAACTGAACAGCAACAAATGCAATGTGCCCCTGTGTTCTTGTGGCGAAGACATTGCCAATGAGCAATTGTTTTTTACACAAGCAAACAGCTTCACACCCAATTATCCTTTTCCATATGTGTTTTCCCAATGTGAGACCTCATACAGAAGGTGACTGCTGTGTGTAGGTACAATTTAGGCATTTTTGTCATGTCTGACTAAAATAAAATGCTGGAATTTCAAAACCAAATTTTAACTCAGCAGAGTTTTCTCTGACTTTAACTAAACTTCTGATATGACATGTCCCATACTCGGGGGTTTTTTCTTACCTGTATGTGTAAGGTCCTCTTTGTTCAAGTTTTGGAGGTGCTCCTTGGTCTAATACCTCTGAAGGATTTTGCACATGGAAAACCCAAAATTGCCTGTAAACTGAACTTCCTGGCACAAGCCAATTTTCAAAAGCAATGGTGCCATTTGAAATGACAGCCTCCTAAAAGGACAAAAAACAAAGCTAAAATTAACCACAAAAAATGAGTGACAAGCTGCATTTACTTTTCAGATGACTGTAGAAGATTCACAAACAAACAGAAGAAAAACCCTGTTTTATCATCAAAATGAGGCATATATAGCACACATTTTTGGCCAATATTTGAAGGCAACCTGACGTTCCTGCACAGTGAGAGCAAAAGTGAGTCCCCCTAAAATAAGTGACCACAAAGTTGACATAATTGCTACTGTAGCCAGTAGCAAAACTTTCCTACTGTTGTGGTCAGGCACTGCCTTAGTTCCCAAATATTTGACAAATCCACTGATTATTTGTAAAAAGAAAATCTTAGAATGACTGAATGATACCCAGCAGTTTTTAGAATCCATAGACTACTTTTCATACATTTGCAAATAGTCCAAGAGAGGAAACGAGAGTTATCTCTGAGCATTACTCAGGCACTAGGTAATTTTGCACCCAGAGAAAGTTAACAGTATTCTCATGGGACTGGTTGTTGCCAGAAAACTCTTGTCACCAAAACTGAGACTTTCTAAGAAATCTCTCTAGTTTTGACAACATTTTGTTAGGAAAGTTTCCCAGGTCTAGGGAATGAGGGCAAAATACAGCTATAAGGACAAGCCAGGATATCAGGAACCACTCTAGAGTAACCAACAGTTATAATATGGTAAATGTCTATTCAGTCCTTGGGTCTGTACAGTGAGAAGGAGAGTTTGAAGGTACGTTTCCTGTATTGTCAGGGGAATGTCTGCTTTGCCTGGTCTACATCAGGCCTCTTTCTATATGATTTTCCCAAAGCCCTGGGATAATGTAGTTTTTCCACTTGGTGGTAAAAATTCAGAAAATATTTTCAATAAGAAGAAAAATCTATGCTGCCTATCTCCAATATATAAAATGCTTTTTTAGTAGAGTGGTGCAATACTAATTAGTTAATTTGCACAGCTCATGGAGTCCCAGGAATTAAAAGGCTAGAATCCCTCCAGATAGCAAGAAAAGACATTTTAAATTATAAGCTGCTAGATTTTCTTTCTAGCTTAGGTTTCTGCCTCTAGAGTTTGCTTAGCAAGCACCATGAAAAAAAGGGATACTACCAATTAACAATCACTGCAGTTAGAAATGAATACCATGTCTTGGAGAACTCATAACACAGTCCGGTCTTTGACTGTGGAAAGTTTGTTTGTATGGCGGAGTTGTAAATGCCTTGCTGGTGATGTAAAGCACCGGGCTTGCTGTCTGAGTATCTGCTATAATTTATGTGTATTAGAGGGGAAGGAAACCTTGCTGCAGCAAACGTGTTATCAAGGTCTTACACTGAGACCCAACAGCTAAAATTCTCTTCAGCCTCGTTTTGTAAACATCAGTAGGTCAAAGACTCTATCACAGCTGTGATCCAGTGTGGGGTGGATCATCTCCTTGGTGAAAAGAGAAAAGTTTACATGATTTGGAAATCACCTTTTTGGTTTCCACAGAGAATTGCTCAAAGGATCTGGGAGAAGTAGGCTGATATAAAGAAAGGCACAGCTCAGCCTTCTCAGAGTCTGTCTGTAATCTGTACTCAGCAGGGTCCTGGGATGGGGGCAGATGCCAGGATTTGACCTCCTGCCTCTGTTTAACTGGGGTAGGGAAATGGTTAAGGATTCCTGGCAGCTATATGGTCAAGAGGACAATCTAATCTCTCTAAATGTCAACAACACACAGGCACAGAGGTGAATAGAGAAGTTTCAGCCTTGTGAAAACAGATTTTAAAGTAGAGTTACTTACTTCTTAAAAGAAGTTTTCCCCTCCATCTATTCCTCCCTCTCCTTATAACCCTTTGCTAGGGGTTACAATAGCACAGAATGATATGCTAACTCCTCTGCCACTGCAGGGTTTACTCAGAGTGCCTGAGCCCTAGGACTTCTCCCGTGCTGGAGAGGTACAGAAATAGTCCCCAACCTACCTCCAGCTTTGGATGTTCTGGGCACTTCCAAAAATATTTATTCTGCAATGATCACATCTTACGACTTTGTGTTGACTTGGAAGAATGTAAGGATCATGCTTCCTCACAACTTTCTCCATGTAAATGGTTTTATTTTTTTCCAAAAGATGGGTCTTTTCCTCTAATCTTCTCTCTGCTATTGCAGGGAAATCTAATAGTGTGCAGGACTTTATACTGGCTTTTTAGTACAACCAGGACAACTTTCCATGTAAACTGAGACTGTAGGCTATGTGACAAGCATTTTCATGTGCTTTCTGTACTGTCTCTTACTGCACTTTACTATGCTATGTACTTTCTTATCAATCTAGACCAAATTTGCTGTCCACCTAAAGAGGTGGGGTGGCTCTCCTTTATTTTTCATGCAAGAATAACTATTATGTCCATATTATACCCTTAGGAAATGCCATCAGAGAAAAATTACTTTGGACATTGTACGAAGAGGTCTCTGGGACGTGAGTACACGGGACAGCCAGGTCACAAGGAGTTACTGTGTATTTGCAGCCCACCATTTACTCAGTGCCAATGCCAGTGTGGAAACTCTTGGGGGATACTTCAAGGAGACAGCTGATCCGACCTGACAGCGCTGCAGCCAAAGGGGCAAGCGGGCTCCCGCAGCCCCCGGTTCCTGACCCACAAACTTCCCCCTTCCTTTGTGCCAGTTCTCATTCCTCAGGGAGCTGTTTCTGCCTGCCAGACTGGAGGAAGATTATTTCTTTTTTTTTTTTTTTTTTTCTGGGTTAACTTGCTACCAGTGAGCCACTTGGCTCAGTGGTCTGGATAGGGGGAAGGATCATAAGAGAACCAGACTTAAAAAAAGGAAGCTGCAGGACAAGAGAGGGAGAGGAAGGAAGAGAGCAAGATTGTTATTTTTGGTGGCATTCAGCCATTATTGTTAATAAGGTTTCTCCCACGAAGGATGTGTATATGACTCTCTGTCACATACTTCAACAGTGCAAATGGTGGGCTAAAGCAGAAGAAAATCTAGAGCTCTGTCCTTATTCATGTCTTCATTTAATAAAACTAATATCATCACACCAGTAAGCACTTGGGGTTTGGCTGTCTGATCACTGGTGAGGCCAGCCCTAAATATCACCGCTTCCTATGGCTGATCACTTGTATATTCCCCTAGTAACAGTGCCATGTTTTGTGATATTATGAAATGTAGGGTAATTTGGGAAACTATTAATTTGCAATTGGTAATATAAAACACTCCTCAAGTCCCTAATCAACCTACATCAGCTCTAATATCTTATGCAACAGTTAACTATTGTTAGCAAAAGTAGATATACAATGTGTAACTGCTACACAGCCAAGTTCATCTCATGACCTAACTGTGCAAGACTGAGTGAAATCAATGGGAACTTTAACCCCTTTTGTTTCTGACACAATTTTCCCCCCACTTCTCTCCTAGTGGGTCAACTGGCAATATATAAATTCAAGAAATGCTGAGCAGTCAGCAACAGAGGCTTGCTGTACTTTGTTGCTTTACGTGAAATCCAGCTATCATGATTTCTGATGAAGAAATACGAAATGTAAGAAAAAGTTGCTGTCTTGACAAAGGATCTGGCCAGATGGACAAAAGATGCCATTTTCTGGGAACTGAGAGATGCCATGAATACTTTAGGCTGTAACAAACTTTTACTAGTTTATCTCTATGTTTTGTATGTGTTAGGCTGCACACGTAAGCTGGAAGAAACAAACAGTAAAATTCTGTAAAACTAAGTAAGTTAAGTTCCAGGAAAGCAAATAAACTTCTTCCATTTTGCAACTGAAAGTACACATAGCAATTTGTTACTTTTTAAGTGATTATTATTAGCTTATTATTAGCCTTTCTATTCAGGCTTTGTTGGATCAAAACTTTTAGTCTTTTTTCAGTCCTTGATCATAAAAAATTATGGAAACCAATCAAGTTTGTCATTGATAATGCTGGAATATGTGTGATTAAATCACTTATGTTCTGTTGAGAGCCAGCAGCTGCTTTAGCTTCATTTGTTTAGATAAAGAAGTGGCATACGAATGTCACAAAACCAAATTTAAATTAGAATTGAAACACAAATTTAAATTAGAAGTGTTTCCTATGCCTCCAGTAGCTGAGAAGCTATAATCTGGCCAATCATAGGTAACAGATATGTAGAGAGACAGATGGATAAACATAATAATAGCTAAAATTGATAGCTTTATTTCTAAAAATAGGAGAGACTAACCCTGAGGACACTGTAAATAGAGTGCAGCACTGAGGTGTTGTGGCAAATCATACACCACTCTGTATTATCAATTCATCAGGAATTCAATATATTAAGTAACACTACGTGGCTTCTGTTAACCTCCTGAGCTCACACGCTCAGGTGGAAAGCAAAAGCTCTTAGAGAAGTGATGATGAAGATTTCTCCAGCAAATGAATTGGTTACCAATGGGCTTGATTAGCTAGACCTAGCTGGAAAAAAAAGCTGATCAGCTGAAAATAAATAATTCTTATCACAACTGAAATTAAGGAAATTTTGCCTAAATAAACTGTATTCTTTTAAGGAAGGGAAAGGCAAAAAGTAGTAATTGAGCCCCATCAAAATATCTCCTTTCAACAGTATCAGATACAAGATTTCTGATTTGTTGTTTTGAATTCACATTTCCTTTTGATTTTTTTTAATGTTAGACATGATAATGTCTAATAATAATGATAACAGACATAATAATGTGCAACCAAAATGTGTGGAGTCAGTTTAAAATGTACATTTTGATAGCCTCAAACAAAATATTTTTTGTAAAGAACTCTGAAACTTTCATGTTTTACTCTTAACTGTACCAAGGACAGTTTCCTAAACCCCTAAGACTTTCATGGAACGGCATCTCTCCCCTCTGGATAGATTCAGCATTTGGGAAAACTAGGATTTTGCCCTTTGGTACTGAAACCAAAGCCACCTTTTAAGGGGGAAGTCTCCTTTCCCTGAATAGTATCAGAGGTGAAATAGCTTATTGCTAATTTCATTCAGTGGATCCCTGCCAAGATGCTGCT